ATTTCCATTTTAATATAATGGCCTAGATAAGAGTTCTGGAGAAGACCAGGTAGAGCTTTTATAAGTCAAAGCATCGGAGGAGACATGCAAGTTTCACCATTAAGGCTAGTTGCTGGGGTTTTGGTTTTTGGTTTTGTTTTTTAATATAAGCTTCTTAAGATAAATAGAGGAGGTTTGGGGAGTGGTGAATAAAGATTGCTGGGCTGTGAACTGTTTCTGGGGCCACACCTCTGGTCCTATAAAGACTAGGTTTGTAGAATAAGGACAGCTGTTTTTAACTTCTCAGAATTTCTCAGAAAGAACTGAGTTACCACTTAAATGATATTAAAGGAATGACGCGGCACCCAACCACGCTGGAATGTTTTTCTTTCCCTCTGGGTATATTTAGCTTGAGCGAGAAGTCCCCAACCCCAGATTCCTATCAGGCTCTGAATACCGGTTATGAGTTTAGTGAGACCGGTGGCCTCCCATCTTGATAATCTATTTATAAAAAATGTTGAGGATCCTCCCGGGATATAAGAAATTCTTTAACTATGGCCCCCCGTTCACCCTTGAGCTGAAGAGCGCTGCCTGCAGGCTCAGTGGTCCCATTTCTAAAGGTAACCTTTTAATAATCTCTTCTGAGTGGAAAGGCAATTCAGAGAGAGGACTACTAGAATGAGTACTCAGATAAGGGAGGAGAGAGGGGAGCAGTAGTTAGGTCAGTCTTTCAGTTTTTTTGCTTTAGGTACCTTTTACATCATTGATTTTTCATTTGCTTTCTACAGCAAATTCTCCAATGACACTGTTTTGGGATTTTGAAGCCCAAAGGCCAGGATTAAATAGCTCTTTATAATCAGGCTTCTGCACGCCAATTGAAATAGGCACAGCAGTGTTAAGATGACAGCTCTCTAAAATTTTAACAATTTAGAGGTCTTTCCAATCCAACGCGTCTAAGGGGTTAGACTTACAAATATTTTCTCCTGTTCATCTAATTTAGAAAAGAGCAAACCTCTTACTACTCTTATTTCCAACAGACCCTACAGGCGAGGGTCCAGGAGACTGACTGACATGGGAAGAACTCTTGCCTTCTGCCAGCTTTCTCTAACTGCACACACAAAAATCAGCTTTGGAATGCCAGAAGAACCCCACCTTGGCCGTTTCAGGGTGGGATTTCCTTTACATCCCAATTAAGTAAGTACTTGCACGTATCAGTTCCACAAGTGCCACGCACAGACCCAGCTGGTATTCCTGTAGGTGGGTGTCCATTGGGGAGCTGAACTGTGAGGCACAATTTCCGTTATTAATTTGGTAGTCTAATTCAGAAATGAGATATGATCTGAACAACCTTCTGAGGACAGCGTGGTGGATGCGGTGTGTGCTGATTCAGAGTCTAGCTCCCCAAGGAGTTACCCTTAGGTGAGTAACAGCTCTTTTACGTGTCTCAGTTGCTCCAACAGTCTAAAACCTCCGTGGATGCTCAGAGCACTAGGGGATCAGCCTTTACCTTGTGCATTCTCGGTGAGCAGGATTTACTTAATTGTTGCAATGGGATTCCCTGTGGGACCACTGCACATCACAAGGACTGATCCTCAGACACTTACGTTCTCAGTCAACTGAGGACACATTATGGCTGGAAGGAGCAAATTTCCCTTGTTCTTTGCTGGTGAATAATTCATTCTCTCATTTCTTTGGCAAACAGCTTGTTCAAGCCAGATATCAACTTGTTTGTTTTCAATTTAAGCCATGGTTAACAAAACCCAGCCACCGATGTCTCCCTGGACCTCCTGCCCAGATCCCCCTAGGTTCCTGCCTCAGAAATGCATTTGGTGCCTCTTATGACTCCATGTCCTCAGTAAAAACAGCTTGAATAAATTAAGATATCACTTAAAAACAAGGAGATCTGGATATCAGGGGAACTCACTGGAACACCTGAGGAAGATTGAGAAGCTGGTGGTCAGAGATCAAAGGCTCTGTGCTGGTACTGAGCGCAAATTTGGGGCAGACTTTGGGTGTCCACCGGTGGGTATCTCTAATATCCTGCCAACTATGCCGTGCAACGGATGATGAAAAATTAAATAATAGTCAAAGAGAGAAACAAATTTTCATCTGAGCCAATCTGAAGATTATGACTGGGGAGACATTCTTTCAGAAAGCTGTGAGGAATGTTCTGCCCATTAGAGTTCAAAGCACAATTACATACGTTTTTGAGACCAAGGTTTTATTCATCAAGTGATGTATGACAATTTCACAACCCAGATCTGCACATGAAAAGCAAGTAGTGGGTCATCATGATTCCTTACAAGATTAAGAAGTAATGTTATCACCTAAGGAGTTATCCTGCTGGCGCCAGGATTAAATAGCTCTCTATAATCAGGCATTCCTGTATCTTCTAAGGAGATATGATTAAGGCAGAACACACGCATACTAAAGGCGGGGGTGGGGGAGTTGGCTCAGCCAAATGACAGAGAATTTTATGTTTTAAAATTTTGTTTTCCTTGTCCTGCCTTAAAAATAATTTTGTTTTATCGTATTGTATAGATATACTATAACATTTTTATCCATTCATTTATCGGATTGCCTTCTCTCCGCCCTTTGGCTATTGTCAATAGTGCTGTCATGAACACGAGCTGTTTTCAGCTTCTCAGATGTCCACCCAGGATTGCAATCGCTAGGCCACGTGGCAATCTAATGTTTACATTTCTAAAAAGCTGCCAAAATGTTTTCCATGGTGGCTGCACCATTTATATCCCAACCAACAAAGAATGTGTGTTCCAACTCCTATACATTCTTACCAACATGTGCTTTTTAATCTTTTCTTTTTCTATAGCCACCTAGCGGTTGTGAAGTCATAAAATTTCTGGAATTTTGACATTGTGCAATCACAAAATCAAAATGGTTAAGAATCTCTGAGAAATTGCCAGAGACAGAGAAGGACAAGCAAATAGTGTGACTGGAAACCCGGGTGGCCCCTAGCTTTCTCTGGATGCCAGGGACATCTATGCTGTCCGCTGTGGAGATAGCCGGTTTTTAGGAATCCATAGAATGTGACTGACATGCAGGCCCTGGGTGAGTAATTTAAACCCTCTCAGCCTCAGTTGTCTGTAATCTATAAAATGAGTGTTAATAGTTATCTTTCCCTCTTAAAGGAGCCCAGACCAGACCAGACCCTACCCGAAGCCTGAATCTGCAAGTTGACCTCCTGGTGGCTTTGACTGAAGACGACATGTGACGTTGCCCAGCCAGATACCTGACCCTCAGCAGGCCCTCTGGAAATGTTCGTTCATATGAGCTCATGAGCAGTTCAACTAGTAGTTATAAAGGACAAGCACACTAATCACAAATTATGGAATTTATTTTTTGTTAGCAAGAAAGGGGACATGAATTGAAGTTGTAGTTGAAAAATAAAAGTTTGGGAGTTTGCTGACTCTGAACTTTTATCTTTTTTCATTCTTACTGATTGTGTTTAAATGGCTCTTTTTTACCACCTGCTGTGTGTGAAGCCACTGAGTCATAAATGTTTAAGACTTAATTTCCCGGATTCTCATGGGGGCTGGTGGTGTCTTTCAGGCTGTGTGAGCTCAGGGCCCTGAGCAGGACCTCCAGCCCCACTCTCCTCCCCACCACACAGACACACATTATCTATCTGCCATCTATCTGTTGATACCATCTGTCTGCATCATCTGACCATCATCATCTATCATCTATCTAGACAGAAAAGCATGGATTTATACCGATAAATTCAGTTCCTTTCTCTGACTGCACAGGATCTGCTCTGTTTTTCTCCTTTTCGGAATCAGCTGCTCCCTTCTCCAACACAGAGAAATCTGGCTTCCATTATCTTTAATGTATTTACTAACTTGATTAATCCCCCTTTATGAAGCCATTGCCCCTCAATCCATTTCCATCCATGGATGCCCTGCTCACCCTACTTGGGTTCTCCACACCCTATTTAAGCTCTGGCTGCCCTCCCCAGACCACCCTTCTGAGTGGACAACCTACTCACCTTGCTTGGGTTCCCCACCCATGCCAGGCTGCTGTTCCTGTGGACACCCTCCCCTCCCTGCTTAGTCTCTGACTTGGAGCCCCTGTGCCCCTCTTCTCTGCCCTTGACCTGCAGTGTGAGGCTGCCCACCTTCTGGGCCTCACCTACTGGTTTTAGGACTGGATTATCCAGTAAGGGGAGCCAAGGCAAAGGAGGGAAGAGAATGGGGTAGGAAAGGGAGAGGAGGAGCCCTGTGCAGCTTCTGATACCAGCTGAAACTGACCAGTGCTTGTAGCCTTTCTGCCCAGTCAGTTGACCAATCAGCTACCTTTTATTCCACGTTCATTGTGTTCAGATAATTTGGAGTCAAGGATGGAATACAAAGAGGTATGAAAAAACATCCTTCCTGCCTTCCAGAAACATGAGGGGAGATGAGATGAAAACATTAAATCAAAACCAATAATAGAATAATAAGTGTCTCAGCTGAGCGTTACCCAAAAAAAGGTAGGTTTAAACTATGAATAGACTTCCTAAGCGACGGGCAAAATCACCGTGGATTAACTCTTACTATTTAATATGTCAAATAGGGGTTTTGATAAAGGTCCCACCCATCAGTGATTGTAATGGTTAGAATCATTCAGTCACTGAATCTCCCTGATGTAGTGGCACACGTTCCCCCTAATGTGCACAGAAGCATCAGATAATACTTTTGTAAAGAGATATTCAGTGACTTGTTCAATGTAACATTTGATTTAGAATATTCTAAGTCTGCGATATAAATGTCAGTACTTCAGTCACTACAATAATTCTTATTTTCATTAATTTGCTGATAAAAACTTGAGAAACTTTCATTCTTGGCCAGTATTCAGGACTAGATGGCACTAACTGGGGGTGGGTGGAGATGGTCCTGTGAGAACCTGAGAGGCTGAGTCTACATGTCTGGCTCTTACTAGTCACTTTTTTCACATGACCCAACATACAGCACTCCATGTAGACCCTGCGAGAGCTAAGTGAATGCACAGAATCCCTAGTCACCCATCATGTGCAGTGGGTGACGCCCATCTTTATTTCTGGGTCTTATCACAAAGTAAATCCAGGTCTCTGGTGTTCCGGGATGCAGCTTCCTTGCAGAACAAGGGAAAGTCAGGCTCCACTTAGTAATTTCTGGGCACAACCTTTAATACAAGGGGCTTTTTTGGTTGTATAATCCCTTGAGTGCCTAATTCCGGGGGGATCTGCAACAGTTAAACAAGTGCATGAGAACAAATTAATGAAGCATCACCAACCAAAGAAGCAAAGTAGACAAAATACATTATGGAAAATAATGCTTTATAATCATATAAAAGCTACTTTTAGCATCATATACCTTTGATTTTTTTAACTACCAATTCAATATGTTTAATAGATACAGGGACAGTCAGGCTATCTCTATTTCCCTGATTGTATTGTAATAGTTTGTGACTTTCAGAGAACTGATCTATTTAACTCATGTTATAAAATACATGGGCATAAAGTTGTTTGCAGTATTCCCTTAGTACTCAATTTTTAAATTAAAAAATTTTCCACTTCTATTGAGATATAACTGACTTACAGCAGAGCATAAATTTAAGATTACAACATAATAATTTGACTTAAATATATTGTGGATTATTACCACAATAAGTTTAGTTAACATCCGTCATCTCACAGACATAGAAAAAGAAAAGAAAAAGAAAAATATACTGTTTTCCTTGCATGAAAATTCTTAGGATCTACTCTCTTATCCCATACAGAAATGTTAACTAGAGTCATCATGTTTTACATTACATCCCTCATACTTATTTACCTATAACTAGAATTTGTACCTTTTGGTCACCTTCATTCTTTGATTCTCTATACTTATTCTATAAGCTTTGTCAGGACTGGACAGTGAAAACATTCATTCATCATTCATTCTTCGAAACATCTACTGAGTACCTATTCTGTACCAGGATTGATACAAAGCCATGATGGCCTGTGTTCCTCCCCCACCCCCGCCCTTTTTTTATGGCCTGTGTTATTTATTGATTTATAATTTAAGTAAAAATAATGAGTTTTTAAAATTTACTGGATTCTTAGACATTATGGCAAACTATCTTGAAAAAACATACAGAGGTAATTTCATGTATGTTGAAACTTGCCAGGGAAGCCTGAGCACGTATTACACATGTTAACTGCATGGGCCTTCCTTGACTTCTAAAGAGTTCAGGCACCTCTCCCAGTGGAACCTATCCAGTTTCATGAGGGGAAGAGATCTTTGTGAAGCATTATGTCTAATTTTTTAACATCTCCTGGCTCCTAAGTGTAGTGCAAATGATGAACTTTAAATGACCTACAGTGTTTCGTCTGACACTTTTAGCCCTATTTTCACCCAGTTACTCTGTCAGTGTTGGGGGACACCAACAGAGTGACTCTAATCTCATTTGATTGAAGGGAAAGCAAATTGTCATGGAGAGAAGAACCCCAGCCTGGGGATGACTGGGTGGAGCTTATAGGGAGCATCTGCCCCTTGCAGACGTGTCAGTGGCCCCCTTTCTCTCAGGGCTGATTCCCCTGTCTGTACACAATTACAGGACTGCCATAAAGGATGCCCACAATTAAAATGGAAACCATCTCTATCCCCGTCTTCCCTGGGAAAGCCTTCTCAACTGGAGCAGCTTATTAACTGTCCGAGTCCTGAAATAAACCTTAACATACGGCTGTGCTTGATGTGAATCAATGACAATTGTTCTTTCTGCTCTTCAGAGGAGTGACTCCAGATCTTTCTATAAACATATTGTACTTTTAAATTTCAAATGGCATGCTTATATTTCCCCTGCAGACAAACAGAACAAGCACGTACATAGATGTCATTTGTTAAATCTTTAAAGTTCAAACAGGTCAACATTTGTATCCAAGACCTGTAAATTTTTTTTATTTAAACATTTTTTAATTGAGTTATAGTCATTTTACAATGTTGTGTCAAGTCCAGTGTAGAGCACAATTTTTTCAGTTATAAATGAACATACATATATTCATTGTCACATTCTTTTTCACAGCGAGCTACCACAAGATCTTCTATATATTTCCCTGTGCTATACCATATAATCTTGTTTATCTGTTCTACATATGCCTGTCAGTGTCTACAAATTTTGAACTCCCTGTCTATCCCTTCCCACCCCCCACCTTGGCAACCACAAGTTTGTATTCTATGTCTATGAGTCTGTTTCTGTTTTGTATTTATGGTTTTTTTTTTTAGATTTCACATATGAGTGATCTCATATTGTATTTTTCTTTCTCTTCCTGGCTTACTTCACTTAGAATGACATTCTCCGAGAATATCCATGTTGCTGTAAATGGCGCTATGTTCAAGACTTGTAAATTAACTGCTCATCACTCCTTAAGCCTTTACCAGATGACTAGGAGGCACCATCAGGCATTTATGAAAGGAACACAATGAGGGGCTAGAGTTAAAGACATTCTTAGGTGCAAAGAAAACATAGAAACCAAACCGAATAGTTCAATGACAAAGTGTTAAGTTACATGGTAGGACCCATGATGCCAGCCAGTGGTAACTGAAAACAGAACAGAGGGGACTTGAGACAATACTATAGAGCTACAGTCATCAAGACAGCATCATATTGGTACAAAAACAGACATATAGACCAATGGAACAGAATAGAGAGCCCAGAAATGAACCCACAAACTTTTGGTCTACTAATCTTTGAGAAAGGAGGCAAGAAGATACACTGGAATAAAGACAGTCTCTTCATCAACTGATGTTGGGAAAACTGGACAGCAGCATGTAAAGCAATGAAACTAGAACACTCCCTTACACCATACACAAAAATAAACTCAAAATGGATCAAAGACTTAAACATAAGACCAGATAAAATAAACCTCCTAGAAGAAAATATAGGCAAAAGATTATTTGACATACATCTACAAAAATGTTCTCCTAGCGCAGTCTACTCAAACATTAGAAATAAAAGCAAGAATAAACAAATGGGACCTAATGAAACTTACAAGCTTCTGCACAGTAAAGGAAACCATAAGTAAAACAAAAAGACAACCTACGGAATGGGAGAAAATTTTTGCAAATGAAACCGACAAAGGCCTGATCTCCAGAATGTATAAGCAGCTCATACGACTTAATAAGAAAAAAAAAACAAACAACCCAACCCAAAAATGGGCAGAAGACTTAAACAAGCAATTCTCCAAGGAGGACATACAAATGATCAATAGGCATATGAAAAAAATGTCCAATATCACTAATTATCAGAGAAATGCAAATCAAAACTACAGTGAGGTCTCTCACCAGTCAGAATGGCCATCATTCAAAAATCCACAAATGACAAATGCTGGAGAGGCTGTGGAGTAAAGGGAACCCTCCTGCACTGCTGGTGGGAATGTAGTTTGGTGCAGCCACTGTGGAAAACAGTATGGAGATTCCTCAAAAGACTAGGAATAGACTTACCATATGACCCAGGAATCCCACTCCAGGGCATATATCCAGAAGGAACCTTACTTCAAAAAGACACCTGCACCCCAATGTTCTTAGCACCACTATTTACAATAGCCAAGACATGGAAACAGCCTAAATGTCCATCAATGGATGACTGGATAAAGAAGATGTGGGATATTTATACAATGGAATACTACTCAGCCATAAAAACTGACAACATAACACCATTTGCAGCAATGTGGATGCTCCTGGAGAATGTCATTCTGAGTGAAGTAAGCCAGGAAGAGAAAGAAAAATACCATATGAGATCGCTTGTATGTGGAATCTAAAATTAAAAACAAACAAACAAACAAAACATAAATACAAAACAGAAATAGGCTCATAGACATAGAATACAAACTTGTGGTTGCCAAGGGGGCAGGGGGTGGGGAGGGATAGACTGGGATTTCAAAATGTAGAATAGATAAACAAGATTATACTGTATAGCACAGGAAAAATACGTACAAGATCTTATGGTAGCTCACAGAGAAAAAAAGTGACAATTAATATATATATGTTCATGTATAACTGAAAAATTGTGCTCTACATTGGAATTTGACACAACATTGTAAAATTATTATAAATCAATTTAAAAAAATTTTTTAAAACACTCTAATTTCAAAAAAAAAAAAGAACAGAGGGGAGAATGGGCTCAGGACTGTTTGGAGGAGGTTCCATGGAGAGGCTCAGGGACTGAGCTAGAACTTGAAGAGGGAGGACAGAATGGTGGGGGGAGCGGGAAGGACACACATGGAGTTATTATTGGAATGCAAAGGGAGCCCAGCCCGATGGCAGCAGGACTCCTGGAAGGTGAGGGGGACCGTGGGAGTCTTCACATCTGGCAGAAATGCTTTCAGTCAGGGATTCTCACCTTGGCTGCACTGAGACGTTTTGAATGCCGCACTCTGGGGGAATTACATTAGAACGTCCGAGATGACCTAGGCACTAGGGTTTTTAACTCTCCCATGATTTCATTCTGCAAGCAGTGGTTGAGGACCGCTGCCAGGAGAGCTTCTGGAAGTCCTAGCAGAGAAGCCCACCATTGAAAAGTCATGACGTAGTAATCACTGTGCTCATGTCTGTCACACACTTCCCTTCCTTCCAGTGGACGTGAAACAAGGTTCAAAATGTTGCTCAGTTCAGTGGACTGCCTATAGTCATGTCCTACTAACTGCATCGACTCTAGACAGCCGGTATAGATGGGTCTTCATAAAGCCACAGACATAGCCATCCAGAGTTGAAGGACAACTGAAGCTTAAATATGGCTCCAAAAGATTCTCTGGCTATAGAACAAATTATTCTTTGAATAGAATACATTCTTACACATATATAAAGAGACTCCAAAGTTCAAAAAAACAATAAAACATTATTAATGCAGATAGGTAACTGCCTCACCTGTGTTTCTTTGCAATGCTTAAAGGAGAAGTTCTGCAGGACTCTGACAATAGCAAGTTTCATGTTCATCATAGCAAACCTCATTCCAATGCAGTTTCGGGGTCCAGTTCCAAAAGGCAGGTATGTGTAAGGATTTACGCTGTCCTGGTTCTTCTTGTTGAACCTCGATCCAAAGAAGTAGATGAAACAAATTAATGAGACATAAAAACCACAAGAGCTCCAGGTCTGAAGTTTTAACTTAATTCTTCAATGAACAGCACTGGGGATCCTTTTGTGGGCAAGTCACGCATCCTGCTGTGGCTACTTTGCTGTGAGAAAGGTCAGCTTCAGATCCTTCCCATCTCCTTTACTCTATAGGAGCTCCCAGTCTTGTTGAAGAGATGAGATGAATGCTTTTTAAAAGAAACTATCTTTAGACACTAAAATTACATTCAGGGTGGTGAGATGTTCATTCTCTGAAAGGTATTTAGGAAATGAGACTGATTGAAGGAAACGGGTTCCTGTCTCCAGGCACACCTATGTCGGTCGTATCCTCATGGGGGAAGAAAGCAGGCAAAACACCTCCCACTGTTAAAAGGTTATCTTACCCTTGTCTTCTCCTGCCTCCTGCTCTGCTTGTGTCTCTCTCTGTGTGTCTCTTTCTCTCTCTCCCACAAACTGAGGATGCTTAGGTCAGCAGATTTACACGAGCACATAATGCTACTCTACTCTCGTATTACCACTGATTTCCTTGTCTAGCTGATACACTGGCCTACAAATTCCTTCATGGTTAGACCTATGTTTTGTTCAAATATGACTCCTCAACATTTGAATATATTAAGGAAAAAATGTGGATTGGGGGAAATGATAATGGCATTTATGGCTACGTGTATTTTACAGAACCCCTATTTTGGAGACCATTCAGGACTACTGATAGACAATGTGACATAAAATAACATGGGGACCAGGAGAAGGGTAGCATGCGGACGACACAGACATGAGTTGATGGTTGCTGGGTGGAGAATGGGCACAGATAGATACATTAGAAGTGGTTTACAGGCTTGTGCCTATAGAATATATTTGTGTATGAGTCAAGTATGCACACACTTATGTATATGTCAAAAATTCTCCATAATAGGCTTTTTTAAAACATTTGGATTTCTTCTTGGCTGGCCCAATCCCAGGCACAGGTAGGAAAGAACTAACTAACTCCCTGCTTGATGGCTGAATGAATGAAAGAGAAGTACAGTGAGTGGCCTCTGGCTTTGGGTTCATGCTGCTGCAGTGGGGAGCTCCTGAGCTGGGAGGAACCACAGAGGTTCCCTGGTCCAGAAAACAGAGGACTTGGTCAAGTCTGACGTCTTCAACAAGTGCCTCTGTTGTAGGTCATGCTAGCACTAGGGACACCATGGCAAACAGGTCAAAACCCTGCCATCGGGGAGCTTATAGTCAGGGGCTCATAAGTGTCCGGATTCCAGCTGGTTCCCTGAAAGTTCGATCCAAATTTGGCTCACCATATAGTAAATGGGTCTCTATCAACTATTTCCAGAGTCCAAGCTGCCATAACCAGACTTTGGCTCTGAGTTCCCAGAGGAGGATACTCAAGACCCCTCCAGGGAGGATGTCCCAGACGTCTAGAGGTCAGAGGGCTTCTCTTTGGAAGGTCACCAAATACCGAGGCAGAAGGGAGGTGGCCCAGGACTGCAGACGCGGATAGCACCGGGGGCCTATGCTCTTGGCCCTCAGTGAGGCTGCCTGAACCACCAGGGATGAGAACCTCTGGGTCCTCAGCCTGAACTCTCACTATAATGGTGGAGGCACAGCCAATATTTAAAGAAATGAAAATGTTGGGATGTTAGTGGTGAATTCAAAGAGCTAAAGAGAATAGACAGAAAAATTTAAACAAAATATAATGCCTACACACCTAAAATAAGACAGTGGTTAAGTAAATTATGGCATATGCAAAAATCATACATGTATATATTTAAAAACATAGACTGCTGTTTACAGTTTACTGTTAACTAAGGTAAGCAGTTAAAAACCAAATTGTATATAATACCATTCTAAGTTTTAAAAATCTATATATGTACAGAAAAGTAACCATAATGACACACATCACATTATCAGTAAGGCCTCCGTTAAGATACTGGAAATGTACATGGCTATAACTTTCTTTTTTCTAGTCTACAGTTTGTAAACCTTTGACTCAAACAACGGTCATTCTTGGAATAAGAAAATGCATTTAACAATAAAAAGATGTAAAATAAATGATTATACACTCACACATTTATCACCCACAGTAAAAGTCATTGGAATACGCTCTAAACAACCTGCATCAGGGTGGGTTCTCTTTCCCCAGGATCTTGTACCTCTCAGGGCGGAACTCCTCAGGCTCTGGCCAGAGCTCCGGGTCTCTGTGAAGAGCAAAGACTGGCACCATCACCACGGTCCCTTTAGGGATGAATACCCCTTTGATTTCCACATCTTTCTTACAGGCCCTCTCAAGTCTACCAGCAATTGAAAATAGTCTGAGAATTTCATTCACCACCATGTCAAGATACTCCATCTGTACCAGGGCATCGTAGGTGGGAAGATCCTGGGAAGAAAGAAACAGACTTTGACAAATTGAGATTTGGGATCAACTTTAAACTCAGTCTATGTAGCACTATTGAAATGCTAGGATCTCCAGAGAATAATTTAATTGGTAAAGTATCTCAGCATTCACAGACATTTTAATATCCATCATGTCCTTTGATCTGCTCAGTGGCCCCTTGAGATGTGTGGAGTAGCTATGACTATGGGAGGCCCTGGGGACAACTCCTAAACAGGGTCTGTAATCCCACACACTATCACGTAGTGCTTTTTCTTTCTCACGAGAACATATGGGACTAATGGACTATGGCCCTTACTCTTAAGTGGAATAGTGTGAAGTCACTGTTTCCTTTCAAAAGAAGGGTCACACATCTAAAACAAGGAAAAAGAATCTATCAAAGAGCGAAATCTCGATTCCACATAAAGTATTCTGGTTGAGAACTGCTGATTGCTAATTCTTTTGAATATCCACATATAAAATTTGGAAACACTATATTAGGTAAAAACTGTATAAATGTGGTGCCCTCCCTTTCTGACTCGGGTTGACGAGGTGGCTTGTTTCAATCAGTGGAAAGTATCCTAAGTGTGATACAAGCAGAGTTTGAAGCCACCCGTATGATTGGGCTTCTTGCTCCTGTCACCTACCACTGATCTGAGAAGCAGACACAGGGAGTACGAGGGACATGTGGGGGGCACGTGTGCAGTTGAGGCAGCCCAGCCAGCTTAGCCAGGGTCAGCCTGGATCAGCCAACACCCAGACCAGTCAAGTCCAGCCATATCAACAGGTAACTATGCAGACACTAGCGCAACAAATGCTTATTGTTAGATGCCACTGAGGTTTTATGAATTTTACTTGGCATTATCTTGACATCCGATCTGGCAGGACCAGCACTTTTTTCAAAGTACTTATATTGCTGTGAGGAGCATGCATTAACTGTGTTTTCCCTTTGTTTTGTACTCTTTAGATCCTTCCTAGATAGTGTGGATAAAGGAATGGATGCTTATGCTTTTTGCAACAATCTCCTAAGAAGTGGCAAGGAGGCGTTCTTGCTAAGGCTTCACCTTTCCCCTCTCTTCAGGCACCATCCACTCACCTTATTGGGGAAAGTCGCATCGATCTCCTCCTGCAGCTTCTGCTGGACATCGGGGTGCGTGGCCAGTTCATACATAACGAAGGAGAGAGAATTGCTGGTGGTCTCGTAGCCAGCAAAAATAAAGATAATGCTTTGGGCCACAAGTTCTAGGTCAGACAGAGCTGAAAAGAAAGTAAAGCCATTTTATGTAGAGCATGTCAGTGTTAAAAAATCAGTTTAGATTGATGAGAAATTCAAATGAAAGTCCCAAATCCCTAGGGGAAAACATGTAAAAGTAATTCAGAGTCAAACTTGGAGTGTTTTTCACTCTGAAGTCTGGCTCATAGAGACAGAAAAAAGCAAGAATTGTCTTTAAAAAACAAAAAATTGTCCTGCCCCAACTATGTAGTTCACAACAAAAACAACACAAAAAGAATGTAAGAAAGATCTACAGAATTCTGACTCCCCAGTGATGATTTCTGTGATTCTACTGTGGGCAAATTCAACTATCAAATTATGTCCTCCCGTGAGCATAAACCCCATGATACTCAAAGTTTACAGCTGTGCTATCTAATATGTAGCTATTTAGATTTTAATTTTAATTGATTGAAATTAAATATAATTTAGCATTGCAGTCTCAAAGCCTTCTCCCACACGTTAATGACAAAGGGAAAAATTAAACTTGACAGTAGGTTAAGCTAGTGAGCATACTTTAACCAAGTGTTCCAAGCTAAGGTCACCAACACTGGGGTAAAGTGCCTCCCAATGCAATGAAGCCTTGGTACAGATTTCCAGGCAGAGGTTCTGACTTAATGAGTCTGGAGGAGCCTGAGAATTGACACTGGAAACAAGCCCCCCAGAGGCTGGGCTGCAGGTGGTCCAGGAGCAGGACTGACTCCGGGCGTGACGTTCTTGTTATCCTCGCCCTTCACGCTCTGAACAACGTTGTGCCTGCGTAGTTCTGGGAAGTACCTCTGGCTACTGTTTCTTTCTGAACATATCATCTGCTGGAGAACTTCCTGCATATTTTCAGAACCACCGCCCTCCCCTGTGCCTCCCCTCAGTGGCCCTCCGAAGCACTCCTGGTTACCTTTATGGGTGTCAATTTCTTTGGAATTCTGGGAGTTAATCATCAGCTGAAGAAGATCCACTCGGTGCTGGAAACAGAAAGAGAAATTCTGATGACAGAAATTACTTGTGAAGTCATAAATAAATCAGGAATGCAGTATATAACCTCTTTCCTCTGAATATAGCCCCTTCAAAAGCAGAAGTCTGACTAGTATTGCCTGAGTCCTCCATCGACAGGAACATTCAGCTGCAAATCTTGGAGAGCATGAAGATTCCCCGAGGGAAACCCGGCCGTCACGCCCAACTGCTTTTTGTTCCTCGCCCTCTCTGATCTTGGGCTTCTCTGGCTTTTGAAACAGTTCTTTGCCGAAGAGCTGTCTGTCCCTCTCCCATCATCCCTGTTTGCTCAGGAGAAAGTCCGTGACTTCCGTCCTTTTCTTTCCCTCTAACTTTAATTCTGAGTAAATGGTCGCATAAATTGATCTGACATTTGCTGAGTTTATCGGCAGCTTTCCTAGAAGCATCTTCAAGCAGTTGCCTTTCCAAAAATCCTCACGATCTTCAGTGACACCCTGGAGTACCCAGTCCTGGCCCCCTGACCTGGAGACATCCTTGTGCTGACCTCCAGGCCTCATGAAGGCAAAGCTATTTTAACCAGCTTGCAGCCTCAGGGCCCAGAGAAGACTCCTGCCCACTCCAGACTATTACAAGGCTCAAATTTAACACAGACTACACTCAACCAGGTGCCCGATCCACTGGACAATCTGTAAAATAGGAGGCTTGGAACTGAAGTGATCTTGCCAGTCTAATATGTGGGGAAATTATAATACCAGTAAAATCATTTTTAAACAGTATTTTTCATCCTTTGACAGTTTATTGAAGGGAAGTGGTAGTTTTTATCTCAATCATATTTATGTAGTGACTTACCAGCTGGATTGCCTACTCTTAGATTTAAACACTGCTCTCTGACTCATTTTCTTATCTTCTTGCCCAGCCTCTACCTTCTTCATCCCTCCAAAGTGTTATAACTCCCCTGATCTAAAATCTATAGTTCTCTACCAACCTTAAAAAAATGCAGAGAAGTGCACAAGTCATATGTATACAGGTCAATACATTTTCAAAACATGAACACACTCATGTAACCATCACCGGATTTTACCGTTTGTTTATCCTTGAGGCGACTTTCTTTTATCCTTTTTATGGATCTTGTGAAAAAATTTATAACACTTTTTGGAAACAGATAGATATTTAATACTTCAAATATTGGGGTGAGGAATGGAAAGAGCACTGTAGGTAAAAGATAAAAGGAAAGCACAGTGAAAATTCAGAATTTCTCAGGGGCAATTATAATTTTCTCTATCAGAGAGTAAAATACACCATAATCACTCCCCCTATGACATTTGTTCAGACTTCCAATCCAATGACTGCACGAGGGTAAATCCACAAACAGGGGCAGTCACTACTGTAGTGAGATGAGTGGCTCTTTCTGCTTTTTGAAAGATCAAAGGAACAGGACTGCATTCCTGGACCTCACAGCCTTTTGTCTATTGGACTAGAGTCTCTTTGGAAAAACTAGACTATAGTCTGATACTGTAATCATTTTATTCAAAAAATTATAGGATAGAAATAACAATGTATGTCTTTTAACCACAATGGAATTAAATTAAAAATCAATAACAAAAATGGAGGATACTCACAAATATATGGAAATCAAACAACACATTCCTAAATAATCAATGAGTTGTATGATGTATAAAAAGCATAATCAGGAATTACTTTGACATAAATAAAAATAAATACACTACTTACCAAAACTAGTGGGATGTAGCAAAAGCAGGGCTCATAGAGAAATTCAAGGCTATAAATGTCTATTTTTAAAAAGGAACAAACATCTCAAATCATGATCCTAACTTTCCACCTTAACACACCGAAAAAAGAGCAGACTAAACCTCGTTAGAAGAAGGAAGAACATAATAAAGATAAAAGCAGAAATTAATGAAATAGAGAATAAAACTAGTAGAAAAAATCAATGAAACCAAAAGCTGATGCTTTGAAAAGAACTTTTTAGCCAGATTGACTAAGAAAAAGAAAAAAGACTCAAACATCTAGCATTAGAAATGAAAGAGAGGAGATTACTATTAACATCGAAAATGTGAGTAGGACCATAGAGGAATACTGTAAACAATGTACACCAACAAATTAGGAAACTTAGATGAAGCGGACAAATTCCTAGAAGGACACAAAGTGCAGAAACTGACTCAGGAAGAAAGAGACAATCTGAATAGGCCTATAAGGAGTACAAAGTTTTAGTCAGTAATCAAGAAACAACCCACAACATTGTGCTGTACACCAGAAATTGACACATTGTAACTGACTATACTTCAATTTAAAAAACCCCCACAATTTGACAAAGGTCCAGATGGTTTCAGTGGTGAATACTACCAAATAATTAGAAAGAATAAATACCAATTTTTCATAAATTCTTCCCAAAAAATAGAATATGACAGAACACTTCCAAACTCATTCTGTGGGGCCAGTATTAATCTGATATGAAAATCAGACTAAGACAGTGTAGGGAAAGAAAACTGCAGAGTAATGTATCTTATGATCATCTTCACAAATCTTCAACAAAATACTAGCAAACTGAATCCAGTAACATATAAAAGGATGTTATACACCATATCCAAGGGGAGTTTAATCCCAGGAATGTAAGATTGTGTAACACATCATTTCAATAGAATAAAAAGCAAAAACCATGTGATTATATAAACAGATGCATAAAAAGTATCTGACAAAATCCAACAATCTCTTATGATTTAAAAAAAAACAAACACTCAACAAATAGAACAGAACAGAATATTGTCAACCTAAAAAAGGGCATCTATGAAAAAGTCCATAGCTCACAACATACTTAATAGTGAGAGGTTGGATGTTTTTTTCTAAGATTAAGAAAAAGACAGGGAAGCCTCTCTCATCACTTCTACTCAAAATTGTACTAGAGGCTCTCATCAGAATAACTGGGCAAGAAAATGGTGGGGAAGGTATAGCTTGAGTAGAAGAACAGATGCTTAGGATGCATGAAATCCTGGGTTCAATCCCCAGTACCTCCTCTAAAAATAAATGAAGAAAACGATATAAAACATATCCTGTAAGAAATGAAGATGTAAAACTATCTCTATCATCAGATAACATGATCTGGTGTGTAGGAAATCCTATGGAATCCACTAAACTTGTTAATAGAATTAATAGACAGGTTCAGCAAGATCTCAGGATACAAGATTAATATACAAAATCAATTGTGTTTCTATATACTGCAATAAATAATCCAAAAGTGAAATTAAGAAAATAACTCTTTACAGTAACATCAGAAATAATAGAACGCTCAGGAATAAAATTAACAAAAAAGTGCAAAACTTATACTCTGAAAACTATAAAACACTTTGAAATAAATTAAATAAGATCTAAGGAAATAAAAGACGTCCCATGTTCATGTATCAGAACATTTACATGGTCAAGATGGCAAATCTACAGATATTACACATTCCCTATCTTAATCCTAGCTGGCTTCTTTGTAGAAAGTGACAACCTGAACTTAAACACATATGAAAGTGCAAACTGCCCAGAAAAGTCAAAACATTCTGGAAAAAAACAATTAAGTTGTAGGAGTTACACTTCTTTATTTCAAAACTTACCACAAAGCTACATTAATCAAGGCAAGGTGGTACTGGAATAAGGATGAACATAGAGATCAAAGGAATAGAACTTGGAGTCCAGAAATAAACCCACATGCCAATGGTCAACTGAATGTTGACAAGGTTTCCAAGACCATTCAATGGAGAAGAAAATGCCTTTTCGATAAACAGTACTGGGACAAGTGAATAGTTACATGCAAAAGAATAGAGTGGTATACCTCACACCATATAAACACCAAACTCAAAGTTGATCAAAGACCTAAACATACGAGCTAAAACTATACAACTCTCACAAGAGAACCAAGGGGTACATTTTCATGACCTCAGGACTGGCAAGAGATTCTTAGCTATAACAACAAAAGCATAGGACGTAAGAGGAAAAATAGAGAAGTGGTACATAATCAAAATTTAAAATTTTGCACTCAAAGCATACAATCAAGAAAGTGCAAAGACACCTACAGAAGAGGAAAAAGTTTTTGAAATTCTATATCTGATATGAGACTTTTATCTAGAATAGATATAAAATACTAGCAAACTGAATCCAGTAACATATAAAAGAATATTATACACTACGTCCAACAACTAATACAACTTAACAACAACAAAAAAGACAAACAATGCAACTATAAATGGGCAAAGGATCTGAATAGACATCTATTAAAGAAGATATTAAAACGGCCAACAAAAAAGGTTTTCATCATCCCTAGCCATTTGGGAAATAAAAATGAAAATCACATGAGATACCATTTCACACCCACTGCAAGGGGCACAAGCAAGAAGACAGGAAAGTATTGACCATGTGTTTTCAAGAACATGGAGAAGCTGGAAGCTTCCCACATTACTGGTGGGGATGTAAAAGGGTGTAGCTACTGTGGGAAACAGGTTGGCAGATCCTTAATAAACTGAACACAAAGTTAATATATAACACAGTAATTCCACCTCTGAGTACACACCCAACGAATCAAAAACAAATGTTCAAACAAAAATAGTATATGAATGTTCATAACAGCACTATTCACAGCAGCCAAAAAGTGAAAACAACTCAAATGGCCATCAACTTACAAATGGACAAACAAAATGCAGAAAGTCCATACAATAGACTATTATTTGGCCACACAAAGAAGTGTTGATATGTGCTACAATGTGGATAAACTTTGAAAACATTAGGCTAAATGAAAGAATCCAGCCACAAAAGACCACACATTACATGATTCCATTTATATGAAGTGTCTAGAATAGGCAAGTCTATACTCAGTAGACTAGTGGTTGCTTAGGGCTAAGGGAGTTGGAGGTGATAGTAAAAAGGTACAGGGTTTCTGAGTTGATAAAAATGTTCTGTAATTGAATACAGTGATATCTGCACATATCTTTGAATGTACTAAAAAATTTTTTCAGTTTTACTGATTTATAACTGACATATAGTACTGTATTAATTTAAGGTGTACAGTACAATGTCTTGACATACATATACTGTGAAATGATTACCATCATAAGTTCACTTAACATCCCTCACCTCATATAGTTGCAGAAAAAATTTTTCCCTATTGATGAGAATTTTTAGGATCTACTGTTAGCAATGTACAAATGTATCAGACAGCAGTGTTAATGATAGTCACACTGCACATTATACCACAAGGACTTATTTATGTAATAACTGAAAGTTTGTACCTTTTCACCACCTTCATCCAATTCTTCTGCCTCCCAATCCCTGCCTCTGGTAACCAAAAATCTGATCTTGTTTTTCTATGAGTTTGGTTTTCCTCTTCTGTCAACATACAAGTATTTGCCTTTTGTCTGAATTATTTCACTTAATATAATACCCTCAAGATCCAGCCACATTGTTGCAAATGGCAGGATTTCCTTCTTTTTTATGGCTGAACAGTATTCCATTTTGTGTGTGTGTATGTATCACATTTTCCTTATTCATTCATCTGATGGACACTTAGGTTGTAAACCACTGAACTGCACATTTTAAATGGATTAATTGATAGTATGTGAATCATATCTCAATAACACTGTGGAAAGAAAGAAAGAGAAAGGAAGAAAGAAAGAAAGAAAGAAAGAAAGAAAGAAAGAAAGAAAGAAAGAAAGAAAGAAAGAAAGAAAGAAAGAAAGAAAGAAAGAAAGAAAGAAAGAAAGAAAGAAAGAAAGAAAGAAAGGAAGGAAGGAAGGAAGGAAGGAAGGAAGGAAGGAAGGAAGGAAGAAAGAAAGAAAGAAAGAAAGAAAGAAAGAAAGAAAGAAAGAAAGAAAGGGAGGAGGGAGGAAGAAAGGAAGGAAGGAAAGGAAGAAGGAAGGAAGGAAGGAAGAATGGAAGAAAGGAAGAAATAG